CTGCTGGTTGTTAGAAGCTGAGTTAGCTGATATAAGACTGGTACCAGGTTTGGGGCCGGAGGCGTTGGTACATAGGATAATCAACTGATGAAATTTTAGAACATCATGAACAAAGATTATGTAACAGGGAAATGAAGAGCATAAAGAAGCCAATTTGTGCTCAGTGTCCTTGGAGTGCAGAAATTATAGCAACTATGTATAACTTGTTGCTTTCTATGTATTTATTGGACTTGCAGGAAAAGGGTCAACAATGGGTTCATGCCAGTCCAACTGATGTTTACAAAGGTCTGTACTCAAGAAGCAAATGTTTCCCCCACCCACTTTGTATCTTGCAGGGATTGATCCTGAAATTCATGCTGTCAGTGATGGTAGCCACAAGATTTGAACAACCACAGAAGCACCATTTTGTTAAATCTAATTATTGTGGTTTGAATGATTCAAGTCAGCAAATAGCTTAAGTGTTGCTTATGGACATCTATGCACTGCATCATGAGGTATGGAGTGAATGGAATATCATTAAGAACAAAAGGTAATGACTATGAGAGAGAAGGATGTTATGAGTACTCTTTTTGAGGGGAGATGAGGGTCTGGATTATTGTTATCACTCTGGAATTCTTGAAGGCTTGAATTTGAGGTGAATAGCTGTATGAATTGATTCTATAAAGCTATGAAAACTGGGGATTAGGGGGAGGGGAGAATGGTGGGGAGAACTAATACCGTGCTTTTAAATCAGGTGGCTTTTACTATTGAAAGTATCTATTTAATTGCCAGCAATTTAAAATGGGTAAATGTCACTGTTAAAAATTTTATAAACAGTCTAGAAAATAATAACGTACCCTTAGCACTTGCATGCATATCGTTTGGTAATCACTTAACTGGTCATTTAAACACTGGGATATTAGAATGAAAGTAAAAGCAATGATTGTGTTTAATCAAAAGCAAATTGCTGCTGAAGTGATTAGAATAAAGGGGTAAAGGCCATAGATAATGAACACTTGTGGTCAGCTAAGACTGGAAAACCACACATGCACACAAATCTATATATAGCAAAAAATCAGTCACTGTCATAGTAAGAATTCCCAAGTGGGAAGGAGAATTTAAGAAAATGTTCTAGCAAGTAGTGTGGGAACAGTAATCAATAACTCATGTACAGTCTTGTAGCTAACCAAGGAGGAGCTACAGTTAACCTTAATTGTGAAGACTACATAAAAGAGGCCAACAGACGACTCTCTGACACCACATACTATGAAAAACTAGAGGATGATCCTACTTTCCTTTTCACCTTGGAACTCT